GTGTCAAATCTAGGAATGATGATTTGCAATGTCATAATTTATGGGTATGTTGAAATCCCATATGTACATTGTAGTGTGTAGGGTAATTTTTTCTTTAATTTTTTAAATGATAAAGCATGCATTCAATTCTAGGCAGCTGACAAATCTTAAATGTCAAAGAAAGAAAGGATGAAACATTTGCTTTTGAAATAGAGAATTCTTGTTTTTTGAAAGCCTTTTACTGGTGTGTGCAGTTATTGAAGTAAAATATTTGTACTTGGCAGACTTGTCTTCACCAGATGTCACAGCTCAGACCTCTCTTTAGTTGGAGACATGGGGATAAGTCTTTCTGCTATTAAGTAGGCGATTAATCTTCAAAGAAATGTAGAGAATGTAGTTGATAATTACTAGGTGGAATTTGTGTTGTTCTCTTTGTAACAAATTGTTCTTTAAAAAAGAACGTTTATATTTTGTATTTATCACTTGTCATGGGGCTTTGTTACCTTTAAATTTGCTTCTGGATTCCAGCTTTCTAGCCCACATTTAGCTATCATTCACAAATTTATCTGTTGCGGAGAAAAGGAGAGTCAGCACATTAATTATGGTTCTGGTTATGTTTAATTACCAAGGCTAATGTTTTTACTCCTGTTGCAAAATATGTATTTCCATATATAAAATGATATATTTCATCAATTTCAAGACAGACATTTATTCACATTTGAACAACACTGATATTAGGAAATGTCATATAATGTGACATAACTATAATTGATAACATTTTTACTTTCTCAGTGGCACATATAACTCATGGTGTCTTAAACTGGATGCAAATCAGTGTAATGTAGAGATCTTTATCAAGGTTTGAACCCCCTTCTGAAGCACAGCTTGTTTACAGTTTATGTGACTCACGAGCAGGCGCATCTTCTTTCACTTACTGTTGCCTAAATCAAGGCAGAATTTTTACTTTCATTGTTAACTTTGGAGACATATAACAAGAAACAATTGGGAAATTTGCTCCATTTAATTAAGGAAGCTCCAGCCTAGATATGTTACGGGGTTTGTCTGAGTTTGCAAAGCTGAAAGCTGGTTAATAGCAGGACCATCCGTAGAACCCACTGCTCTGCGTTTCTAGCTTTCCTATTGTTTTGTCTTTGGGGTTTAGGATGTCCCTTGTGAGACTGTTGCTGTGTCCACCACAGGGTGACCAGAAGGCTGAGAGTTGATGAGGGGCCTTCTCGTGACCCAGCCCTCAGGCAGGCTCGTCCATCTCTGTGCACTGAGGCTCACTTGGTCACTGGAGCACCTGTTGGCAGAGCTTGTCATTTTGCACATTCCCCGAATGGACTTCCAGTACTTTTCCTCCAAAGGAACAAGTCCAGATTGTCGTGGTTCAGGTTTTTATGTCCTTCTGCTCCTTCCCATCATTGCACACTCACACTGTATAGTGTGAAATAGTGCGTCAGAGTGCCAACATTTTGTGTTGCTTGAACAACTTTCATGGTAGTACATACTCCTGTGAATATTCATGTCCATACACTCCCTCCTCCTACCCCAAAGATATTTTAAAAATCATGTGCATAGGCCCTGTGATGGCAATAGGTGGTCCTGAGGTGGGAGCATGATGCATTTGAGGAAATAGATTAAGGCTGTGTTTGCAGCAGAGGAGAGTGTGGGCAGGGCTAGAAACACTCTTATGGACCGTCTTACTAACCTTGCCCTCATTCTGAGAACAAAGGGAATCCTCTGGAGGCTTTTCCTTTTAGTTTAGTTTTGTTTTTATCAGATTTGCTGTTAAAAAGATCACTCTTGCTGGATTTTATGTGTGTGTTGGGGTGGGGGGTGTTAAGAGAGGATGGCTATTTGGTGAAGATACCTATCTGCATGGATTGATTGGGTGAGAGCCTGAGTACATGGGAGGTAAGAGAATGGGGACAGCATGAACAGGCAACTTTGGAAAAGTTCATTGTCCGGGGAGAAAACAGATCACTGAACCCATTTTTCACTCCCATTTTACTCTCAGGCCCCTGGAAACCTCTCTGTTCTCTTGCTTTCTATCACCCCCAAAGCAGCCTGGATCCCAGGGTCATCCATTTCCAGTGAGTGTCAGTGAGCGTCAGTGAGCGCTTCCCCATGACCTCAAACCCTGCCTCAAACTCATGGGTCAGAATCCACCTTCTGTTCCCTACTCCAAATACTTGCTTTCCCCTAATTCCTCTACTTGGTTAGTGGTGCTGCCGTTTCTGACTCTCCCACTTTATTACCTGCCCCCTAGCCTGCCCTACAGATTGTCCCGAGTTTGCGGCCATCCAGAGCCTCTCAGGTCTTAGTGGTTCAGCTTCTTTATTGTCTCTTGGATTTATTCTGTTCTTCCTCTTCTCATGTCACTGCTTCTTCATCTCTTGACTGCTGCTGTCTTCCTCTTAGTTCTTCAATTGAAAAATGGAGATTATCATACCTACCTTGAAATTTTGCTAGGAGCATTAATTTAAATGAAATGTGCAACATGTAGCATAGCGCTTCGCCATTAGTGGATGTTCTGGGCTTCTTCTGTTTCCTACTTGCTAATTTGTCCCCCTGGCTCCAGTTTGTAGCCACAGCCTTTCATTTTTATCCTGCTACCAGAGTTGTTTTCCCTAAATACACCCTTTTTTAAGCATTTTCAGTTTTTTTCCATTGCCTACTGTGTAGCCAAACTTCCTTACCGTTTCAATCCGGACCCCAAATCTAGTCCCATCCTTTAGGATCCCACCCATTACACGTTTACCGTCTCTACACTCACAGGCCTTCCTTGCTGCTTCTGGCCCAGCTACATTAGATGGCTAGATGTCGTCTAAAAACCCGATTTTTTTCTTTGCTTTTGTGGTTTTTGAATCAGAGTGCCCTTTTCTTCTTTCTCCCTGTCCTCTGATTGTTGAAAACAATGAGCCAAAAATTTGTTATATAGTTGCTAGAGTTGATATATATGTATTTATGTGTATATGAAGATATGAATATATATATAAAGACATACGTACATATCTCACAAGTTGTTTATCATCACAAGGGGTAGCCTGAGGTCGGCTCCCCATCTGTTAGACACATTATCTTGTCGGGAAATAACTTCAAGTGTCTAAACTTGCGTGTTTACATCTGTTAAATGAAATGGAGTTTAAATGGATGGTCTGTTCCTACCCATGGTAAAGGCCTGGGCCGGAACTTAATTATAACCCAGGTAGAACGATTCTATGAGAAGAACTGAGGTAACTCACCCAGATCCTTTGCTTTATAATAGCATTTAAAGAATTTAGATGTATGGCCAGTTAGCAGGATTAGGGAAAAAAGAATTAGTATTTGATGAGTGGCAAGCACTTTATGTACATTATGTCATTTAATCCTTTGAAACCCCCACAAGATAAGTAGGTGTTTTATAGATGAGAAAATTGAGGACTAGTGAGGTTATTTGCCCAAGCTTTAAAGCTTGTTAGACTCTCTTAGCTGTCAGGCTGGCTCTCCCACTAACAGCGATGGCTGAGCAAACTGCGTGCCTTAGCTTTTGTCAGCTGTGGTTTCTTTTCTTACCACTGATTATTCTCCAGACCATAGACTATTTACTCCAGACAGTTTGGGAAAAAAGTATGGTTCAGTGTATATGTTCATCCTGGGGTTTGTGTTCTTTCCCTTTCTCTCCTGGACAATATTTCTATTTAAACATCATTATAGCCATAAAAATAATATTTGGCTTTCTGTTATTGTGCTTATTATTCTTAGGGTTACGAAGTGTATTATGTGTATGCATTGTATTTAGACAGAAAGCAAACATTTGTTTAACAGAATAGGAAAGAAATGAAATTCATTGCAGATAAATGCGTATTCTTTTCTTTTCTTCTCCCCAAAGCCCCAGTACATGGTTGTATGTCATAGCTGCAAGTCCCTCTAGTTCTCTATGTGAGCTGCCGCCACAGCAGGGCAACTGACAGACGAGTGCTGAGGTTCTGCGACCAGGAAACGAACCTGAGCTGCGGGGGTGAGAGAGTGGAAATTTAACCACTAGACCATCAGGGCTGGCTCACACATGTATATTCTTAAGACATTATCACTTTTATGGGTCTGGAGCCCTGTATAGTTCAAAATCAAGGATTTCAGTGCCTTGAGATAAGTGATGGTGGTGGCAGTAGCAGTAATAACAAGGTCAGCAGCAACAGCCAGCAGTGGCTGAGCTGTTATCATGTGCATACATGTGTGTCACATTTGTTATAGACACGTTTCTAAGTGCTTTACTCGTATTAGCTTTTTAAATCCTCTCAATGACCTTTGGAGGTTGGTAGTGTTATTACTCCCATTTTATAGATGAGGAAATAGAGCACAGAGAGGGTAGGAGACTTACCTAAGGTCACAGAGCTAGGATACATACTGTGCAGACTTGGCAGTTCTGAGTCTAATTCAAATTTCTATTGTTAACCACTTAAATACGTTATTGAAATGTCTCTGAAGTAATATGTTATTGTCTCTTTTCCTGGGATTTGGACTCATTGCAGTTTTTAGGGGCCTTGGTAACAGATTATCTTCAAAGTAAAAATGACGAGGCCTAGTGGAGTGGGGTTGTATGTAAATCACATGAATTACTGAGGTATCCTCAAGGGACTAAGGCCTCCTTCTTACTGTGTGTTATTGACAATAATAATTTTTAAAATTCAAGTATGAAAATATTACAGATTCCTGAAGGTGCTTTAATTTATTCTGCAAGATGTCACTGAAGTGGAAAATTTCATATGTTTAAATGCTGGCTGGTGTAGGTTGTTTTGGATTACAGCAGATAAGGAATTTTTAAACGGTTTGGCAGGAATAGGTAAAGCAAACATCTTTTCTCTTTCATAAGCAGTAATACTGGATTCTAAAATTGTACTTTGCAGGAAGAAAGTTTGAGCTAATTAGAGACATATTGTTTTTATAAGTTTGAGGAAATTTTTATTGGCTAAGAAATAATACTGCGTAATATGTTTTAATGCCTTTATGTTAAACTCAGAATTTTTCCCCCTTCTTTTTTTTAGTTCTTCAGAGGACATGGATGAAAATGAAAGCAACCAGTCCCTGACCACAAGCAGCCAATATCCTAAAGAAGCAGTAAGAAAACGCCAAAATTCAGCACGGAGTTCTGGCGCAAGCGATTCTTCGAGGTTTTCCAGGAAGAGTTTCAAACTGGATTACAGACTAGAGGAAGATGTAACTAAATCAAAGAAAGGAAAGGATGGGAGATTTGTTAACCCTTGGCCAACATGGAAAAATCCCTCTATTCCAAATGTTCTCAGATGGCTGATAATGGAAAAAGATCACAGCAGTGTTCCGGGTTCCAAAGAGGTAGCGTTGGGCTTTTTTGAGTGCTGTGTGTTCCCTCTTAATACAGACACTACTTCACTTGCTGTGAATTATATTATGACACTGCAGTTAGTTAATTGAGCCCCTTTTATGTGATAAGGCACAGGGCTAGGTTCTGGGGAGATAAAGTGAATGAGGTGTCTCAAGTTCATAGTTGAGCAGCAAAGTACACATATGAGTAACCAGCTCTGGTGGCAGCTCGAGGTAGCAGCAGAGTGCTTTAGAAGCACAGGAAAGGAAGCGATCAGTTTTCACCGGTGGGTGGCAAATGGCTTCACAGAGAGGTGATATTTGAGCTGGGCCTAGAAAGAGAAAAAGTATTCTGACAGAGGTTTCCCAGGTGGATGATGGCGTGAACGGTCATGAAAGTGAGAAAGTGCATGACATGTTCCAGAAAGTAGTAACCTGATGTGTGTTTGGAATATGAATGATGAGGGTGAAGGCATGGCCTAGAGTGCTGCCTTTTCATCCTAGGATAAAGCTGCTAAAGCTATGAAAGGAATCTTCCCATAACCTTCCCAGATCTTTAAAAATTGGCAATAGGTTACTGGCATTTAAATGTGCTGGTTTTACATGGGATGAAACTTATTAACATTTGGCATGAAGTTTATTAGGTGAATGAGGTGATCCTTTGGCAGGGGGTGGGTGGCTCCCAGTCGCAGTAGCTCCTTTTTCTCCTCTGTTAGTTTCCTGCCCTCTCCACCTCCTGTCTCCCTCGGCCTCTCTTTTCCACCAAGCCTGTCCTGCCAGGCTTTGTGGGGAGTTGAGAGATGAGGAACCTGACATTGGGAGTAGGGGATGGGATGAAGAGTGGGGACATCCCTGAAGGCTTGATCTGCAGGGGGGAGAGGCAGGAGGGGAGTGGGTGGGTGGTGGTAGTGGTAGATTGTTTACCTTTGTAAGTGTGTCCATTCTTCTTTAAAGGATATGGGATAAAAAATCTGATATTATCACTTTGATGCTAAGGAGTGTCCATAGTATTAATCCTAGTTAACAGAATTGATTAATATGAATAATATATTTCCAGCACTTTTTTAGAAGGAGGTTTAGGACATTAATAGATAAAACCTTAGGTTTCAACTTTGAGGATGAGAAAAACAAGAAAATTTTTTTTCCCTTTTTTCTGGAGAGCCCCATATGAAGAGAAACATGGAGTTGAGCTTTGAAGAGGAGGGTCAGGGCAGGAGGCCAAGATGGGGAGGCTCCCTGTTGGGGTCTTTTTCTTCCTGGCTTTTGAGCCACAGCTTCTAAAAATATAGAGGTAGCAATGGTGTTTTTTGTTTTGTTTCAAAGAGGAAGTGAGTACCACACGAAGGCGGAAACACATCTCTGCACTCCAGTGATTTGGATATGTTCTAGAAACTGAGTTGAATCTGAGAACTCACCAGGCCAGTGGTTCTTAAGCTCTTTTGGGTACTGGCTCCTTTTAAGAATCTGATGAAAGCTGTGGACCCTCTTTTTAGAGAAATATGCACATGAGCACGTTGCCTTTTACTGTAATTTTAGGGAGTTCGTGGACCCTCTCAAGCCTGTCCATTAACTCATTCATTTACTCATTCATTCATTTAGCCAGTACTTATTGAGCACCTGCTGTGCTCACTGTTTTAGGTGCTAGAGATAGAGCCACGAACAAAGCCCAGAGATACTCTGGCCTTCTTGGACCTTAGGTTTAGTGGAAGAGTGAGACAATAAACGAAATAATGTTGTATATTAAAAGATGATTAGTGCTGTGGAGAATAATAAAGCAGAGAAAGAAGTTAGGGTGATGGGGATGGGAGCTGCATTCTTTAATGGAAAATAAAAGCCTTTTTTTTAAAAGGCAGGAGATTTTTTAAAAGAAAACGCCAAAGGAGATTTCATGTCTCAGTATGTACTACTTAAAATAAACTCGGCATCATATAAAAGAAGAGAGAAGACACTTTTGCGATATTCCAATTGATATTTTATTTCTAATCTCTTACCTACATCTTGCTTCTCCCTTGTTTCCGGTAAAAGCCTAGAACTAGATCAAATGCATGTTGATTTTTGTTATTTTCATAAATAACTGTCACTCAATATTTAATCCTTTTAAATACATTAACTTTTACGAACTCCCAAATGTGATAGAGTTCTACATTTTCCCCCCAGAAATATTAAGAACCATGTAAAGAACACCTGCTTCAGATCATTGGACCAGTTCCAAATTTAATCAGCTTTTTGGAAATTGTTTTCATTAGATGTTGGGAGGCTAGAGTTTAATAAAACACAGCTTCAAATTATTGTTTTGGAAGGAGACAGGGTGATATCATATATGCAGGATTATAATTACTATTATTATGCAATTTACATCATTATAGTATAGTATGTTTATGTAGGTATATAAATTAAAAGTAGTTGGCAAGAAACATACGATTAAAGTATAAAATATGAGAACAGATCTAAATAAAATGAAAATGGATCATAAGCAAAGCTATACAATTTAGTTGCCTGGTCAGAAAACACGGTTTCTTTACTTGGGCTATTCCTGATATTTGCTGTTTCTGGGTCTTTAGTGCAGCGTGCCAGTTCGCAGGCTTCGCATTGTTCGGATGCTGTCACTGCTTTGTGCTGGTGCAGTTGACTCAGTGACCTTGTCTCGTTGTTGATCACAGTCACCAATAATCTGGGGGAAAGAGACAACTGGAGAATTTCAAAGAGACAGGGCGGCAGCACTCCTGAGTTCCACTAGTTGAAGGAGGCTGTCCTTAACGGTCACTACTGTAGAACTGAGCAGGGGACAGTCAGATTGGAGAGTGAGAGACACAGACCTGAGGCTGCATAGCATGGCCTGTAGAAAAAGAGGGACATGAGGAGTCCGGAAACCAGGCTCAGGGTCAGGAGTCCTCACCGAGTGTGATCTTATTCCTATCACAGTTCCTCAAGGAACGCCTTTTTTTGTCTATAAAGTTAGGATAAGACAGTTTAGGTCACTAGGATTGCTTTGAGGTTCACATGACACATGAAAGTACTTTGAAACTATAATGCACTGTTTAGATGTATGATATTGAAGAATAGGGTGCCCTTTGAAAAAATGAAACAATTATATTTATACTATAGTATGCTAAGAGGTTGCTTTTTTATTTTTATCAAGAAAAAAATACATGTATTCAGTTTTAAAAAGTCATAGTACTATAAGGCTTATACGACACATACCCATCCCCTCACCAGCCCCTGCCACCCAGTCCCCTTCCCCAGAGGCAACAACTTTCAGCCCTTTAAGTTGTTCCCTCTGGAGTTGACCTTCATAATTCTTTTACTTTTATTGTGGTAAGAACACTTGACATGAGATCTATACAGTATTGTTGACAATAGGTACAAGGCCCTATAGCAGATCTCTAGAGCTTATTCATCTTGCTTGACTGAGACTTAATGCCCGTTGATTAGTATCTCCCCATTTTCCTCTCCCCTCAGCCCCTGGCAACCACCATTCCACTCTTTGAGTCTAGGAATTTGACTATTTTAGACACCTCATATATGTGGAATCGTGCAGGATGTCTTTCTGTGGTCCTTCATATGATTTAACTCACCCACTACCCCTCCCATCTCCCACGGTTCTACAGCTTTCCCTTTATTGTTCACCTTATTGTGACTATATCAGTATTTTTCATTGATGAACCAAGTAATGTGCTATGGCCGTGTCTCCTTTCCTTATATACTTTTTTCTCCTGAGGTTAATGATACCTCTTGTTCACCTGCTTAACTTTCTGTGTATTCATGACTAGTCATTTCCCTCCTTCCCATGGCTTCTCAATGCAGTTTTCCTGAGGGGGGTACCTTCAGGTGGTCTTTCAGCCCTTGGCTATCATCTGGGCTGACAGCCCTGCAGGCTCCCTGCCAGCCTCCATTCTAGTGTCTCCCTTCACCATTATCCTGGGCTCCTCTGCCTCCTCAGTGTTGGCCCTGCTCCCACATCCCACTTGTTCCACTTTCTTGGATATTGTCTCATTTTGGGAGAGCACATTCTTTTTTTTGTGAGGAAGATTAGTCCTGAGCTAAAGTACGCTGCCAATCCTTTTGCTGAGGTGGACCGGTCCTGGGCCAACATCTGCGCCCATCTGCCTCCGCCTTACATGGGACGCTGCCACAGCATGACTTGATAAGCAGTGCGTAGGTCCACGCCCGGGATCCGAACCCATGAACCCAGGGCCGCTGAAGCGGAGCATGCGAACCTAACCACTACACCACTGGGCCGACCCCTGAAAAAAATATTTTTTATTTAAATTTTTCATTTAAATCTGAGTTGCAAAATATAGGTATTCAAGTTTCCTAAGATAGTAAAAATATACCTTCAGTTGGAAGAAAAGGATTAAATCAAGTCTTATTTTTTTATTACTATTATTATTTTTTTGTGAGGAAGACCAGCCCTGAGCTAACATCCGATGCCAATCCTCCTCTCTTTTGCTGAGGAAGACTGGCCCTGGGCTAACATCTATGCCCATCTTCCTCTACTTTATATGGGACGCTGCCACAGCATGGCTTAACAAGTGGTGTGTGCCTGGGATCTGAACCAGCGAACCCTGGGCCGCCGTAGCGGAGCGCGCGCACTTAACCGCTTGCGCCACTGGGTCGGCCCCAAATCAAGTCTTCTTTAAAAGTGATTTTAGAAAACATGATTTGAACAGATTTCCTTCAAATCTTTCTCTTCTGTCTTACTCATGCCCACAAACACATACTCTTAAAATAAAAAGCATATTAACAAGCATATGGGTTTCATTGTTTTAATATAATTTATGCCGTGGAAAGAGTTACGGTTTAATAAAAAGAGAGGCTCTTTGGAGTCAGGAAGATCTCAGTCCGCTCCTGATTGTACACTGATTTGTTGTATGACCTTGGTGAGTTTCTTGGGGGCCCCCCTCTGCCTTGGTCTGTCTCTGTAAAATGGCAGTAACACGGCTTCAGAGTTAGATGACATAATGTACTTAAACCACCTGGCAAAGGGTAGTGGTTGAATGAACGTTAGGATGTTTCTCTTTCCCTAAGAAAAGTAAAACATTAACTAGTGTACTGATTAGTTGTGGGCCGAGGGATTTTCCTGTGTGCAGAAACAAAGACCAGCCAAGAAAACTTGTGATCTAGTAAAGAAAACGCCAAGTGAGTGCTTGGTTTCCTCAAATAAACAAGAATTTCTCTATCCCCATTCTACATGCTTTTTCAAACTCTGATGATTAGGATAAAAAGTAAAAAAATCACTTTTCTTTTTGGAATCTCAATTGTGGACTCTCTTTCTTTGCGTTTTATGGGATATTAGTACTCGAGACCAAAGTCTTTAAGCTGCTCTTTTGTGATGGGCTTAGGGACCACACAGCACGAAGAAAAGTGACTGCTAGTTCAGATCTCCTGTCGGTATTTTACTTTTTGTAAACAGCTGTTTTGAGATATAATTCACATACTATACAACTGACCTGTTTAAAGTGTACAACTCACTGGTTTTCAGTCCATTCACAGCATTGTGTGACCATCACCACCATGGAATGCACTTTCATTACCCCAAAGTGAACCCCTGCGTGCTCAGTCACCACCCCCGTTCTCCATTCCTCCTCCAGCCCCCGGAAATCGCTAATCTATTTTCTCTCTCTCTGGATTTGCCTGTTCTGGATGTTTCACATAAAGAGGATTATACAATAGATGGTCCTTTGTGACTGGCTTCTTGCAGCACTTTTCCTGTTAACACTTCGTTTGGAGAACAAGCAGAGGCTGCCAGAGGGGCTCTGTGACAGGTTTCATTTCCCCTCAGCAGTCGGCAGATAATGCTAGACACTGAACTTCAAATGGCTTTTAAACTTAGAGCAAAAAGAAAATGCAACAGTTTTGGGGGAATTTTGTTACAGATATTTGGTACACTGTGTAAATACATGCTACTTAAAATTTTTTTAAAGTTTTATAAACATAATACAAGCTCCACATATTCAAAAAAGCACAATTTGATGAGTTTTGACGTATGTGTATACCCATGAAATGATCACCACAGTCAAGATAATGAACATATCCAGCATTTCTGAAAGTTCCCGTGTCCTTAGTAATCCATCTCTTATTCTCCCTAATCTGATCCACAGGCTATTACTTGTTTTTTAAAAAAAGATGTATAAAATGAGATAATATTTGGGAGTAAGTACAGTGGTGAGAAACAGTATGTGTGCAGGCTAGCTGGGTGACCTCGTATGAGTGCTGTAACTTCTCATTCTTTGTTTTCTCATCTGTAAAATGGAGATAGTAGTACCTCGCTCCAATGTTGTGGTCAGTATTTAAACATTTTTACGAAGCTGTTAGTACACTGTCTAGCACATAGTAAGCACTCCATAAATGATGGTTATTGTTAGTTATTTTATGTCGTGTTATACTAAAGTATTTGATACATTAGATAATTCATCATCATTATTATACATCTGGTAAGAAGCCTAACACACCATAGGTACTCAGTTCATATTCATTCCCTCCCTTTCCTCCTCAATTCTTGATAAGTATACCATATGTTATTTGTTATTGTTCACTAACCCTAAGTACCAACTTTGAGAGCTGATTTGAAAAATTTACATTGATTCATCCAACACATTTTATTGAGCACATGTTGTGCTTCAGTCACTGAACCAGGCCCTGTGCGATTCCAAGTTGAATGAGACATGAGATAACATCCTGTATTCCTGTAACCAGGGTACAGGGCAGAATATCCACAGATGATGTGTGAGCAGAGTGGCATGGAAGTTGAGAGGTGGGAGTGAGTGTGTCCAGAAGTGGAGACGCAGGGATGGTCCCATGAAGGGGGTGCAGTTTGATTAAGGTCTCAAAGGGATGAGGGAAGACATTTTAACCTGAGAAGTGGGATCAGTATTGTGCTGGGCTTTAATCTCAGTCTGGAACAGTCCCAGTGTAGGTGGGACACAGAGCTGAGTAGAGGAGTTGAGTGACAACTGGAGGGGAGGATGGGGTAGTCCACCGACAGGCTTACCACCGGGCTGAGGAAGTGAGACATTTTGTCGAGCAGTGGAGAGCCAGTGACGATTTTTCAGCAGGGGAGGAGGTATACCATAAGTAGACTGTTTTTGAGGTGTCTCTTTTGTATGGATTGAGTTGACAGGAAGACAGTTGAGCAATCACGAGGACTTGAGAGTGTCCAGATGTTACTTAGGATCTTAACTAGGTTAGTGACCATGAAAAAGGAAATGGGTAAAAATGCAAGAGATGGATGGGGTTGGTGCCTGACTGGTTGTTGGGGTTGGGGTTTTCTTCTTTTGGAATACTTGAAGAGTGTTTACAGTGTGCTAGCCACTCCTAATTCAGTCTCCACAGCAATGAAGTGTAGGTACAATTATCATACCCATTTTTCAGATGAGGAGACTAAGGCTTAGGGCAGCTAAGAGAAATCTTTGTCGTCCTCCAGTGCTGCTGCTCCTTCTCTTCCCTTGTCCAGGCCCTTTTCCCACTCAGACCGTCTCAGTGACCCTCAATTTTCCTTCACCAGCATCTCCCCATCTGCCCTCTCTCGTCTCTGCCCATGCTGTCTCCTTTATTCCTCACCTCTCACGGAAGCTGCTGTGACACACTCTAGGTCATCATTTGCACGCTACAGTGTTTTCTCTAAACATAAATTGGGTCATGTCTTTTTTTTTTTAAGATGCTTCCTCATCGTCTCTGGGTGGAGTACGGCATTCAAGGCTCTTACTGTGTTCTGACCTTTACAGATTCAATTTGTTCCCTGCCCCCTAACTCTATGTTCCTAGTTGGCTCTGTGCCTTCGTTTGGGCATTTTCTCCGCCTGGAATGCCCTTCTTCCTTTTCTCTGCATCATGAGCTTCTCATCATTCTCCAGGAACTCGCACAGGTTCCTTTGTCTGTATTGCCTTTGGCAACTTGGCGCCTCATTCCTTCTTATTAGCCTATAGCATGTCTTGTATTTTATTTAATTATATAATACCACCCTTTTCAAAACTGATGTGCAGCAACTTATAAAAATACATGTAGCAGTAAAAAAACACAGATGGATGAACATATAAGAGCAAATGGACTATTAGGGTAGAAAATACAGCCAAGAATAAAGTTGGTATAGAAATCCATTTCATCTGGCCCACACATTGCTGGAGGTGGCTTCAGCTTTTACTTGGAACTTTCCAGTCAAAGCTAAAGGGGTAGCACGAACTGTTGGAGTTTTCCCAGTGATGGTCAAATGAATGAAGCCAGCTGCATTCATTCTCAGAGAATGTTACTGAGAATTGAAAGAAATGTTTCTGGGGTAAGTGGGAAGGTGGCGGGGTTGGGGGGGCAGGAGGTGGTACCAAATGTTAAAGACAGCCTACAGTACGTGCACGGCTAGTTTCCGGAGGTGGCTTCCTGTTGGAGCCCTTGATGCAGCGCTGTGGCATGACACTAAAGCATGATTTATACAAGGCAGGATGGTGACTGTAAAACAGGGCTTCTTGTTGGTCTAGCTTAATCCAAGGGTAAAAGGCAGAATAACCAAAGGAGTAATACTTAAACAAATTCTGCTGTAGTTATTGTTTTACATCTGTTTACCCCAAAAAGTGGTCAGCTTCTCACAGGCAGGGACCATGTTGCACTTTGGTTTGATCAGTGGTAGAAAACCTGAAGGCTAAGGAATGAAGAGAACCGTCTGTGGCTGGTTTGCCCAGGAGTCATCACAGTGCTCTGCTGTCAATTCCATGTACTCAGAACTCAGACTCATACTTGAGATCTGAGATCCGTAACTGAGACGTAAATGGTCCTGAGTTTTCTTTACTGTTTCCAGGGACTGACCTGCACTGAGGCAGTGTCCAGCAGCGCATGCACCAGCCAAGTGGAAGGGCAACAGCAAAGTGACCGCAGCTGGGCCCATCTACCTCTCACACTTACAGAAGAGAGCCTTTAAAAAAATTAATAAATTTAGCAGTCCTCAAAGTTTTCGATCTTCCCTTTGTCTACTGCATTTGGAACTAAGAAGATCTTGCATGACTGTACTGTCATGATTATTGAGTCAGATTCAGAAAGAAGTTAGGTATGCATTCTCAAGAGAAAAGCAAAGGGCCGGCCCCGTGGCTTAGTGGTTAAGTGCGCGCGCTCCGCTACTGGCAGCCCGGGTTCGGATCCCGGGTGCGCACCGACGCACCGCTTCTCCGGCCACACTGAGGCCGCGTCCCACATACAGCAACTAGAAGGATGTGCAACTGTGACAGACAATTATCTGCTGGGGCTTTGGGGAAAGAAAAGGAGGAGGATTGGCCAATAGATGTTAGCTCAGAGCCGGTCTTCCTCAGCAAAAAGAGGAGGATTAGCATGGATGTTAGCTCAGGGCAGATATTCCTCACACACACACAAAAAAGAGAAAAGCAAAAACAGCAAATATATTGAATGACTTCAGTTCTCCCCAAATAGCCCTTCTCTATAATTGAGGTCAAAATATGTTCTCTGATGACCTAATAACTTCTTTTCTCCCCATTGGCTGCTTTTCTTTATACACATAGGAACTTGATAAAGAACTCCCAGTGCTTAAGCCATATTTTATTGATGACCGTGAAAAAGCTGGAGTGAGCGAAGCTGGCTTACGAGTCACGTGGCTGGGCCACGCAACGGTCATGGTGGAAATGGATGAGCTCATATTTCTCACGGATCCTGTCTTCAGCTCTCGTGCCTCACCGTTGCAGCACATGGGTCCGAAGCGTTTTCGTCGGCCCCCGTGCACTATAAGTGAACTCCCCAAGATAGATGCGGTCCTTATCAGCCACAACCACTATGACCACCTGGACTACAGTTCCGTCATTGCTTTGAATGAGCGATTCGGGAATGAGTTGAGATGGTTTGTGCCTTTGGGTCTCCTTGACTGGATGCAAAAATGTGGCTGTGAGAATGTGATTGAGCTGGACTGGTGGGAGGAGAACTGTGTCCCCGGACATGACAAGGTCACCTTTGTCTTTACACCTTCCCAGCACTGGTGTAAAAGGACTCTAATGGATGACAACAAGGTTCTGTGGGGCAGCTGGTCTGTCTTGGGGCCTTGGAATCGATTTTTTTTTGCAGGAGACACTGGTTATTGCCCTGCTTTTGAAGAGATAGGAAAAAGATTTGGGCCTTTTGACCTTGCTGCTATTCCCATCGGAGCATATGAACCAAGGTATGTAGACTTTCAGAGAAAATGTTCCTGTGACATAGTAAGTTAACTGAACTTTAAGGTGGATATGATTTTGTGATACGTATAATTTGTGATTTTAATGGTGGACTTGGTTGGGGGTTGGTGAGTCAGATTCAATTAAAATTGTTTCATTTTTAAATATTTTAATCATAGTCATATCAGTTAAATAATTATTCAGAATCATCAAGTATATTACCAAGAAAAAAGGACCAAAGTTTAAGGAATTACTCTACCTAGCAGGAAGTTCACATACCATTCTGACTAAAGTTAAACAGATCAGCCACTAATCAAACCTAACCCTTGTTCTTCCTTTCACACGGAGACCACCCCATGACTGGAATGCACCTGTCCCCTGTCCTATAGCTCTCCTGTGTCTAGCAGAGAAAATCGAGGCACCAGCCTATGGCGTTAGTCCCACTCGAGTCAGGACTTAAGTTAACCTGGTGATGACACTGTTGGTTACTCACCACTTGCCCTCCAACCTCTGCATACTGTCACCTGTCTTCAGGGCAGTTAAAGGTCACATGAGCATTCAAGACCTAGGAAAACACTGCCTGTGTTTTCCTTAATACTCTCTATTTAAGCAAAAGAGAAGTGATTTCAAAGAATTCAGTTAGATTTCAGTCAACTCTGGTTGATACGTACAAGTTAAAAGAAACACTGGGAACAAAGTAAGGGCTAATTTAAAAAATGTTTTATTTTCTAAAGTGCATGCACAGATACATACAGAATTGTACATAGAACAGCATTTAGGCAACCCTACGAGCAGAAGAATAGGAATACACAGATGAACTGAGCAAATTTGACCACTGGTTTCCATCTGATTTTGTAATACTTTTAAGTTCACCAAATCCATTTCTTCACTATCTTTATTAATGCTTATTTCTCCCTTTATGTTTTTTTCTAGTTTAAGGGGCTAGACATTTTTACCTTATTTTAAAAAATTATTATAACTCAATAATAGTGCTTGAATTTCATTTTTCCACTTAATTCTAATTCTGAATTCTAATGAAACTTCTCAAAACATCAACTTGTTTACAAATCAGTTTCATATGAAATTGAAATCAATTGATCTTTACTCAATATGTGTTCTTGGAATATCTCTTGTTCAGGGGCTGGCCCCGTGGCTTGGCGGTTAGGTGCACGCGCTCTGCTACCGGCGGCCCGGGATCGGATCCCAGGCGCGCAGCCACGCACCGCTTCTCCGGCCATGCTGAGGGCGCGTCCCACATACAGCAACTAGAAGGATGTGCAACTATGACATACAACTATCTACTGGGGCTTTGGGGAAGAAAAAATGGAGGAGGACTGGCAATAGATGTTAGCTCAGAGCTGGTCTTCCTCAACAAAAAAGGAGGATTAGCATGGATGTTAGCTCAGGGCTGATCTTCCCCACAAAAAAAAAAAAAAAACTCTTGTTCATAATTATGAAAATTTTTGTATGTAACAATATATATCATATATATGTGATATAATGTGTACAGCCTAACTACACAGATTCACTCACACCATTCCCCCTTCCTGCTTGCAGCTGTCTTGTTACTGAGCTGGGAGAGGACGGGGAGGATGTTATTTGCTCTCAGAGAGTTAAACTGGGGTAGCCTCTGCGGTGTAACCCATTTCTCTAGTCAGTACTAACAGTTTTCGAAATGAGATAATTGACTAACAGAACTTCAGAGCACTCTAAAAATGTAGGATTACACCAAAAATGACTTTCAGTAATATGCTTGGGATGTTTCATCCTAACTTTTTTTAATTGATGTCTTAATAGTTTATAACATTGTGAAATTTTGGTTGTACATTACTGTTTGTCCATCACCATATACATGTCTCCCTTCACCCCTTGTGCCCACTCCCCACCCCCATTGCCCCTGGTAACTACAATACAGTTTTCTCTGTCCATGTGTTTATATTCCACATATGAGTGAGATCATGCAGTGCTCGTCTTTCTCTTTCTGGCTTATTTCACTTACCCTCCAGGTCCATCCATGTTGTTGCAAATGGGACAATTTTGTCTTTTTTTTATGGCTGAGTAGTATTCCATTGTATATATATACCACATCTTCTTGATCCAATCATCAGTCAAGGGACACTTGGGTTGCTTCCACTTCTTGGCTATAGTGAACAATGCTGCAATGAGCATAGGGGTGCATAAGCCTCTTTGGATTGTTGATTTCAGGTTCACTGGATAGATTCCCAGTAGTGGGATAGCTGGATCATAGCGTATTTCTATTTTTAATTTTTTGAGGAATCTCCATACCGTTCTCCATAGAGGCTGCACCAGTTTGCATTCCCACCAGCTGTGTGTGAGGGTTCCCGTTTCTCCACAGCCTCTCCATTTGTTGTTTTTTTGTCTTGGTGATTATAGCCATTCTAACGGGCGTGAGGTGATATCTTAGTGTTGTTTTGATTTGCATTTCCTCATCCTAACTTTTGAGATCTGTCACCACCTATTGTATCCAAGTCAAGTCAGTTAGGATTTTAAGTTTTTATTTTAAAATTTACACCAGAGTAAAAATTTTAAATTTATTTCAGATAGACATGAGGGTAGAAAGGAGTATTTCTATCTCTTTGATTTGCAGCAGAGTTAAAAAAAATCAGTACAGAGAAACACCAAAAACTGTTTTCATCTTGCCCTGAATTCTGAGTGTCAGGAGATGTGGCAGAACAGTGCTGCTCTAATCTGCTGATTAGAACACAGCGGCTTTGTTTCTAGGCTCCCGGGGGCCTGGCAACTCCTAACAGTGAGTAACGCCCTCTAGCTCTTGCAGACGGATGAACTTCTCCGAGATGTGTTCCGTAGAGTGCGGAAGCCCCTGTGCTGAGTCCACATCCACCAGCCTTCACTGCAGCATCAGCTGGCAGGGCAGACCTGGGAGATAAATAGTGTGAAGACAGCCTTGTTTCTCCTCTTCTTAACTGATGGCTGGGAAAGTCAAGGATTTGCCTGTAGGCAGTACACTTCTCCCTTTTTATCAGAAAGAATTCTTTCTCCTGAAAGTGTTGGTTTTGTCAGCTCTTTACTCTTTTGGGAGAATTCCATGAAGTAGGTGCTGTGCTTGGTACTTTCAATAAACTTTGTCTTGTTTAATCCTCACAACACCCTCACAAGGTGGGCATAATTTCTATTTCACAGACAAGCAAATGGAAGCTCAGAGAATCTGAAGTGACTTTCCAAAGGCATTCTCAGGAATTGGCAGAGCTGGGATTCACACCAGGCCCTCAGCCTCCGGAGTCCTGTTCTTTCCAGGGCATTAGGCAGCCTTTCAGTGTTTCTGCACTCTCTCCCGTCATGTTACCTGCTCTTCTGGCCAAACCAAAACACCTCCCTGTTCAGTTGTAGGGTGTTTAAATAAAATCCTTGAATAGTAATTAGAGTTTTTTGCTCCTGATCTTTAAATATCATACACTAATTTTTGGTTGTTTTAGCAAGTTTTAAAAAAATTGTTCGGCAAGTTATTCAGGTTCTTTTGCAATTGGAGTTTTGGTTTCTAGTTCTTTACCAATTACTCGGTTTTTTTGATTCATACCAAGATTGCAAAATATCTACTTTTTAAAGTAATAGACATATCTTCAGAATAAATCATCAGTAAAATCAAAATACACGTGAAACAAAATCTTACGATTCAAAGGGGACTTTTGCTTGAGACTTATCTATTGTACAGCAGTTTGTACAAGAAAGGTTTTTGCTTTTTGCAAATGGCGTACGTTTTTGTTTTTATTGATGTCATAATAGTTTATAACATTGTGAACTTTTTTTTAATTAATTTATTTTTTTGTGAGGGAGGTCAGCCCTGAGCTAACATCCATGCCAATCCTCCTCTTTTTGCTGAGGAAGACCGGCTCTGAGCTAACATCTATTGCCAATCCTCCTCCTTTTTTTCCTTCCCCAAAGCCCCAGTACATAGTTGTCTGTCATAGTTGCACATCCTTTTAGTTGCTGTATGTGGGACGTGGCCTCAGCATGGCCAGAGAAGCGGTGCGTCGGTGCACGCCCGGGATCTGAACCCGGGCTGCCAGTAGCAGAGCGCGTGCACTTAACTGCTGTGCCACGGGGCCAGCCCAACTTTGCTTATTTTTTACAAGCAGAAAAGTGGACTCAAGGGAGATGGTTTTGCCTACTGTGATTTATTCCTGTGCAGAATCTTAAAGGTTGATTAGATGAAGCAGTCATTAGAATTTAGTGTATAGTTCAGAGGCCAGAATTAATAAGTTGCTGTGTTTCATCAGGTGGTTTATGAAATACCAGCATGTGGACCCCGAAGAAGCTGTAAGGATTCACATTGATGTTCAAGCAAAGAAATCTGTGGCAATTCACTGGGGAACTTTTGCCTTAGCAAATGAGGTAAGTTTGAGGGTGATAACAATAACTTTGGTTGTGTGTTTGACTTGTGATAGGACTCAGGCATCACCATACCCTGCAGTGTGGTCAGAGACCAAACTGGAATCAGAACCTGCAGTCATCAGTCATCACGTGAATTAGGGTGGTAAATCATATTAATTAGTAAAACAGTATTCATACAGTGAAAGAAAACCTCATTGCATGCTGTTCTTCTGGCTTATTTCTGTAGTTAATGAAGCGTGTTTACATAACCAAAAATATGTGTAGTCTTGGGAAAGAGAAAAATGAACCATCATGTCTTCCCTCTCAAGGCTATTGTTCTAGCTGAAGATATGACATGTACATAATAACTAAAACAGGTGTTGAAAGAGGTAAGGTGGGACAGATAAAGTGGTCTCAGAGTCAGAGACTTACTGACTAGAGGGATCAGGGAGAGCTTCATGTAAGAGGTGACATTTGAACTTGGCATTTCAAGAGGAGAAATTTAGAAACAGATGGTTGAACTTGGCTTCTCCTTTGCTTTGTGTGGCATCTTCCCTGCCCCAGGGCCTCTCTGCAGGAACCCTGTGTTTTCATGCTGTTTTAAGCACTCCCCCTCTCGGTCCTATTTCTGGCTGCCTACTCTCTGTTCCCTCCAATCAAAATTCCTATCCCATGATGCAGCAATCCTGAGCCACACTGTTGGGCGACAGAATGAAATGAACACGGGGGTAAGGAGGATGAATGAGAATACGAGTATGTGTGTGTATTTGGAGGATGGGGAAGTTTGATACTGGTTTCCGCTGGTATACCGCTATATTTGGTGGCAATTTCTTATTCCACATGTATAGATATATGTTCCATATATAGACACCAGCGACTTAGATGAAGTAATAGTATTTTATTAAACCTGTGCAAGAGAAGAATCAAAGATGACTCCTAGATTTTTAACTTGAGTAATTGGGAAGATGGTTGTGTTCTTTACTGAGATGGGGAAGATGAGGATAGAAAACCTCAGTCTTCAAGGGTTACTGTGGTACTCAGACTTCAAGAATCATTCTTGTTAGAAATATAACCTCTACCTTTATTTGTTAATGAAACACATAATAAAAACTCATTTAGTCTTAGCAATTTGGAATTTATTCACATTTTGACATTAGTTGCATAAACCTGACAACTATGAGTTTGTTAAATTATAAAATAGATGGAATTCTTGGGGAGGATGTTAAGCCTATGATTTGTGAACACTTTAAAATGATTTGCATATAACTAGTTATAATAGCTGCTTACTATACTATAAGCAGATTAAGGATGTCCTTAACTTGGCAACACTTTATTTTTTTTTTTTATAATTTTATTTTTCTTTTTCCCCCAACTATCTTTTGCCCAGTAGATAGTTGTATGTCATAGGTGCACATCCTTCTAGTTGCTGTATGTGGGACGCAGCCTCGCTGCGGTGCGTCAGTGCGCGCCCGGGATCCGAACCCGGGCCGCCAGCAGCAGAGCGCGCACACTTAACCACTAAGCCACGGGGCTGGCCCGGCAACACTTTAAAATTGTGCATATAGCAACATCTAATTTATCTAGGGAATGATGAGTGAATTTCCTAGATGATGTATTTAAGCACTTAAAACTACTCACTAGTTTTGGCGGAAATAAATTTCAGGCATTATATATGTTAACTTTTTAAATGCCCAGGGTCTTTATTTTGAATATATTCTATTGGAGTAGATCATGAAACAGTGACCCTTTAAAAGGGAACTTCTGAGTTGTCTGGTGGTGTTTGCCTGGCCCTTCACGGATCCAGAGCGCGGGAACCTCTGCCTTTACCACTTACTCTCGTTTATCTTAATCTGCTGTCTTCTTTATACATAGTTGCTTGGTTGCACGGCTCTGGGGCATTTTTATCTCCGTTGCAGGACTAAAGTGCGTGCACCCTGAGACAGCCATCGGTCACTCAGAAGGTTTTCTTGCCTGCTTCTAGGTTTATCTTCTAGGTGGTTGAAACAGCCAAGGATTGACCTATGAAGAAACTCAGCAAGATACTGCAACATCAAAATCCACACCAAGTTATAGCCTATAACTAAAATTACAGCCTAGCAAATAAATCACTCATGTAGGGTGATTGTGTAAGTGTCCTGTTGGCCAAGACTTGCAGAACATGGGGGAAAAAGAATTTAACAAAACAAGTTCTTTTTCAGTGGGAAAGAATTTCATCATTTTGAAATCTCAAACTAAAATAATTTTACAAGGGAAATTTCTTGACTTAGGCTATTTAAAGTTACATTTTATTGGTGATATATTATCGATTGCCTATATGCAAAAAAAAGACTAAAAGTAGATTCCTGTTATCAACTAATCCATTAATAAGTGGTTATCTCTAGGAATACTGGGTAACCAGTGTGCTAACCAATGTTAAAACCTAAGTTATTCAGCACTCAGTAGAAAGGCATCCCTGACCTTCTAAACATAGCTATAAACCTAGAAGTGAACAAGGTGGGAGAAAAGACCCGTGTGTGGCCAATACTGCTGGCAAACCTGTGCATTTTAAGCCAGAAAACTTTGCTGGTTTTCCTAGTACATCACTGGCTGTCCCTTCTTAGTCTCTGCCGCTAGTTCCTCATCTCCACTCCCTCTCAACAGTGAGTACCTTAGGACTCAGTCCATGGAGGTCTTTTCTCTATTTGGTTACTCCTTTGGGGATCTCATCTGCTTTTGGCTTTAAATACCATCTCTCCGCTGTAGCTCTCTAGCTCAGGTTTTGCCCCTGTAATCCACATTTATATTTCCACTTGCATGTCCATTAGGTGAACTGAAGTCCAAAACCAAACTTCATCTTCCCTCAAACTTGTTTCTCTTACATCTCAGTAAATGGCAACTCCCTCCTTCCAAGTTACTCAGGCCAAAACCTTGACTTCCTTTCTCTCATGTCCTCCATCCAGTTTTTCCCCACAGCTCAGGTTTCAGATGATATTCAGACTTGGACCATGTCTTACCACCTTCACTGCTCCCACTCTGCCCGGTACAGTCTGTTTGCAACACTGCAGAGGGCAGTGACCTTTACACCTTGAATCAGATCATGACGCTCCTCTGCCAGAGTGACCTGGTAGCTTCCCATCACACTGAGTCAAAGTCAATTCACAATCGCCTACAAAGCCTTGTGCCATCAGGTCGTTGTTCACATATCACCTTCTCAAAAAGGATTTCTTAGACTGTTGTATTTAAAATTAAACCTCCATCCCCCACACTTATCATCCCCCTCATTTTGCCCCCCAGAACCTATCAACCACTCAGATACTGTCTATTTTCTTATTTATTCACTTCTTATCTGTTTCTGCATTAGGACGTAAACTCCAGGAAGCAAGGGTTTCTGCTGGGTTCACTGGCCTGGCTGGTCTGTACAGGTGCTCAAGATACTTGTTGCATGAAGGGTAAAAGCAGACTTACCGCTGGTGATTAGCTCAGACTGTGTGATTTTTATTCCTGCTTTGTACTTCTGCATTTTACAGCTTTGCTAATTGAAATTGGGGGAAAAAAACCCTTGAATAAAGGAAAAAATAGCTATTATACAATATAAAGATTTAGACCAAAAGAGAAATAACTAATGAAATGATTTACCTTTTATACCTTTTAATTTAACTATTTTATTCAGTAAGAACAACACATTCAAATGGTTTCAATTTATCTGGAAAACATTTGAGAACGTTGAAACATTCTGCAACAGTGTGCTGCCTTCACTTTTTTTTTTTTGAAAAGGTGGGGAAATTCCACCTAGCCTATCTGTTCTCGAGGTCCCTGTTTCACTCTAGACCACCATGTTGATATCTGGCTAGGGGTTTGAGGATAACAACCTTTCTCCAGGCAAGAATATTTTCTCTAGCATCTGCTTACACACACACACACTCTCTCTCATTTATAATCTGTTTCTATCTTCCTCAAAAATATTGGTAACATTTAATTCTCTAATGTCATCTTTGGCATTGATTCCATTTAAGAGTCTCATGCTCAGGGCCAGCCTGGTGGTGTAGTGGTTAAGGGTGTGCTCTGCTGTGGTGGCCCGGGGTTCACAGGTTCAGATCCTGGGCGTGCACCGACGCACCGCTTGTCAAGCCGTGCTGTGGCGGCGCCCCATATAAAGTAGAGGAAGATGGGCATGGATGTTAGCCCAGGGCCAGTCTTCCTCACAAAAAATAAAAAAATAAGAGTCCCATGCTCTACCAACTGGGCCAGCTGGGCGAAGATTACTGATTCCATTTAGATTGGAATTTCATGTAGGGAAATAGTGATTAGATTTCATGCAATCTAATGATGTTTAATCTAAGTTGGCACCAAATTTGACATACATGGTGTTTGGGTAGATTGATAAGTATGACATTTCTATTGACTTAACAATTAATATATATTATAAAATGTGATTGACTCATTTGCTAATGCTTCAATGAAAAGAAAGGGCATTATTTTAAGTAGGCATATGTTCGTTATTTTAGTTTGAACTCCTATTTGAAATATCTCCCAAATATATGTATGGTTAATCTTTTTCCCTTTTTTTTTCCCTCTCTGCCCTTTGCCAGCATTACTTAGAGCCTCCAGTGAAACTGAGTGAGGCTCTAGAAAGATATGGACTTAAGACCGAAGATTTTTTTGTCTTGAAGCATGGAGAATCAAGATATCTTAATACTGTTGAAAACTGAATAAATATGAGCACAGGATCTTTTAATGAAAAAGGCATCATCTGATATATCTTTGAAAGACTAAGAAATTCATGAATATGATTTTTCAAATTTGGAAACGACTTCTACAAGTTTGTGTTTTATGTTTTGTGTAATAACTTGCTTACTAATATGATTGCCAGTTCATACAAACAAGAGTTCAGGGGTGGGTCATTTAAGTAACCAATTGGCTGCTATGGATTTTAAATCATGTCTGTAGTACAAGCATTGCAGTGGGATTTTTTTTTTTTTTTTTACTAAAGCATTATACTTTAGTGGTAGAATTTTGAGGTTATGAAAAACTGATTTTAAAGACTCATTTCTGTTCTTCTGTTCTTAAGGGCCTTCTACAAGGGGAGTCAAGGCTGTCTACCTACCTAGATTTTTGTCAGAGGCCTGCACATATCAACACTTCTTATATTCACATTAGAGTAAATGATGAAATTGATGCTCAAGTGCTTATAGCAGCTCTTGCTCTATCAAGGTTAGTTTGTGTGCCAAATGTTAAGTGATTTATTTTTTTTAAGCATAAAAATACAGGAGTTTGGGCTAAGTTATTTTTAAAGACTTAATTTTTTAAAAGAGGGGAACAGTTTATTCTATTGCATGTCTATAATCCCTAAATCAAAAGCACTCTGAGCTGGGCAGAGGAAGAGAAAGAGTATGCTATGAGAAAATAATTTATGCAATTTTCTATTTTTAATCTAAAAGTCAGATCTGCTAAGCACAAATATAGCTGCAAGGAAATATTTTACAAAGATAAATGCAGATCTTAAGTGTTAATAGACCATATACTTTGAATTAAACTTTATTGTCTCTATATACCATTTTCTCATCTGGTTTCTTAGCTCTAAATATATCAATGAGATCTACAAATATTTTATGTTTTACATGATTCAAATGTCTTATATTTTTATATTAAATGACCCCTAAGCATGATTCTTTTATTAAGCCAGTGTGGAACGCTAGTAGTAAAAAAAAAAGATGGTGATTCTGGGAAATCAGCTGACCTGAGTTTCTGTCCTACACGGGCTCTGCAGTCCCTTGATTACTCTGCACCCTCCTAAGTGAGAGAGCTGATTCGGTACGTTAGAGGCCTGTTCTATGTTCCTCATCCCCAGTCTCAGTGAAATAAACTTTATTTACGTAAAATAATCAAAATAGGTTTTTCCACACCAAACGCTACCCAGGCAGTCAGTGCTCTATGGCACATATATATATGCACAGCACATGTTAGCCACTTAATCTGAACTTTAATCCTGCTTCCACTATGGATTTTCTGTGTTCCCTGAAACAAGTCACCTATGTTCACTGTGCCTCAGTTTCCTCATGTGCAACGAGGATAATGTTGACCTACCTCCAAAAAATGTGACTAAATAGTGACTTTTTTTAAAAAACAAAAAAAGATGGGCCGGCTCCGTGGCTTAGCGGTTAAGTGCGCGCGCTCTGATGCTGGCGGCCCGGGTTCGGATCCCGGGAGTGCCCCGAGGCACCACTTCTCCGTCCAACGTGAGGCCGAGTCCCACGTACAGCAACTAGAAGGATGTGAACCTATGACATACAACTATCTACTGGGGCTTTGGGGGGAAAAAACT